TCCCGGAAAGCAGTGCCAGCGTTTTTCTAACCGATTGGCCAGCAACAGGCTGGCCCAGTTTCTTGAGCACGGTCGCCCCTTCAGCGTGGACGGCAGACGTTGGCCCAGGTTTGGTTTAAGAAGCCTAGGGGAATGTGGCCTGGGTTTCTTTAGCACTAGGTTTCTTGATCATCTGTTCGGCTGGAGGAGAAGGGGGGAGATAACACCTGATGGCCATGAATCTGACATTGGGGTGTGAGATCGAAGGGTAACAGAGTCCCCCAACCAGACAATCGGTTTCCGTTTCTGTCTAAAGGAGCTTCAAGGAGCCCTAAGATAGCCCACAGGCGCCCCAAGGGTTTTTGCAGGGCCTTAAGACAGTTCGAGAGGGCAACGACGGCCCAAGATGGGCTTACGACGGACACAAGACAGTCTCAGAGACCGCCAAGACGGCTCACATCGACTTTGCGTGGTCCTTTGCGTGGTCCAAGAGTGCCCCAATTCAGCGAGGCTCCAAGACGGCCCAACGTTGGAAGTCGAGAAGCTTCTTAATGTCCTCGAGAAGGGGTGCACATGTTGTGCTTGCTGCTTGCACGTGCCAGGAGGGGAAACAACACACAGGCACAATTCATCGTCGACTCCCATGAAAAGATGGGAAACTACTGGAAGTGAAGGGGACGATGAAAACCCTGAAAAAGGGGGATCATTGGATTTGTGCCTATTTATTTTTGTGTCCCAGGGCCCCCTCAAAGGTGTATACATGTTGGGCTGAGCGTTTGCTCGTGGTGCGCTTGTGGGCTTTGCGGTGCCGTCGCGTGCCGCCCGCATCCAAAGAGCATGGTGCAGTGGTTCGCCCCTTGCCCGCCCACCCCAAGAGAGCTCTCAGATGATCAGCAATGAATCAAAAGCTCGGTATCGTTTAACCGATCCCCATCCCCATCCCCCTCGAGACCCCCACCAAATCACCACACGGCCTATAACCCTTTCTAGGGGGGTACATCGGCCAGTGGGGCCCAGGCCTCCCTGCTGGGGATGGGGATCGGATAGACAATACTCTGCGGTCGGTCGACTCGTGACACCAAGAAAGCCTCGTTGTCGAAGCCGATCAGCGCCGAATGTGTCTCCAGATGGTTCCAACATAGTCCAGTAAGAAGTTCCCAGGGCCTCTTAGGATGGGCGCTGGGGGACCCGCTCTGGGGTCAGGCCGAGAGTCTCCTGAGCGAGGCGGGAGACATATCAGAAGTTTCAAAAGCTTGCCATGCTGCCCAAGTAACTGTCAAGATGCGCGAGGAATGGTCTGGAGCGAGAGAGGGAGAGGGAGAGGGATAGAGAAAGAGGCAGACATATTCACAGACAGGCAGATCGACAGACAGAACTAAAGAGACAGAGGCCGAGAGAGAGAGAGAGAACGGGATAGCACCGCTGGTACTTCACTATGTTGGACAAGTCGGCTCAGTAGGGGTACGTGTTCAGAGAGAGGGAGATACGTAGAGAGATGGAGACATAGCTCTTCGTCTGCGATGTGGCTGTCTTGGTGTCCCTATCGGCACTGTTGTGAAATTTCTGTGTCCGCCTCCGCACGGGGACAGTGCTCTTTGACATCAGGGCGGGCGGAAACATTGGGGACGCCTCTGCGGACTTCGCTACCAGCGCCGCCACCGCCGCAGCCAGCATGCCGCGGCCACTGGGGCAGGGCCCCAGCGGCTCCTCCTCTCCCTCCTCATTGCCCTCTTCCGTCCTCCAGCCTCCTCTCCAGCAGCGTTTCCCCCACCCCCCAGCTACCCAAGCCTTCCAGAGAGCTAACAAGTAGCCCTCCAGACCTGTAGAGCTATCCAGGCCCCGACAGGAATTTAGATGTCGAGATCCTGGTGCTATTTTTTAGCCCTCCTGGAAGGTCAGGGTACGATAGTCCAACCCTTCGTCCGACCCGACACCAGACGTCCGCCGATCCGAGTTCCCCCTCCGCCTCCCTCTCCTCATCGAGCACCCCCCCTGCGCCCGCAGTCGGCCCCTTCGCCCGTGGCCATGCCGGATCAGGCCTTTTTGGCCCCCGCCCAGCATCCCCAACCCCCGACGTCGTGACTTTTTCACGACGTCGACCCCCTGCGGTCTCTGGACCCTGCCCCTGGGATTGGTGTTCCATCCTGAGTCGTTTTTTTGACAGTCCCGGGGCCCAGCGAGGGCCCACAGAGGCAGAAGAAAGCGAAACACCTCCCGTCGCGATTCTTCCACACCGCCGGGACCGGTGTTTCAACCGGAGCCGCTTGTTGGACGGCCCCGAGGCCCTGCGAGGGCCCCCGGAGGCCGAAGAAGGCGAAACACCTCCCGCCGCGATTCTTCCACATCGCGACCGGAACCCGCGTTGCATCCTCTAGTCGTTTTTGCACGGTCCTGGGACCCAGTGAGGGCCCCTGGAGGCCGAGAATGGGGAAAACCCTTCCGTTTTTGTCACGGCGCGAGAGGGACTGGGATCTCTGGGCACAGTCACGGCGGCAGGTTTCTGGCCGCCCGCGGCCTCGGGAGGCCCTCGCCGGGCCCCGGTGGACCGTCAAACGACGCCTCGGGGCGAGCAGCCGGCCCCGGGGAGGGGGCCGAGGCCTCGGGGGGTCGCCGCTGTGCGAGGCTCGTGACGTGGAGGGGGCGGGCGGCGGGCCCAGGGTCTCAGAGGAGGGGCAGGTATACCCATCATGCGGCTACCTTGCGCCTGTCTTCCACTGTATGTCGGCCTCCTGGGAGAGGCCCTCGTCGGCACCGCCGGATTCGCCCCGAGGTCCGGGTCAGAACGCACCCCGGGAGGACGTCCGGGGAGTACAGTGGGGGCCCATGCCAAGATTCTCCGGCTCATCCTCGCGACGGGCGCCGCGCGCCGCCGCTCCGCCGAAGACGCCCGTCCGAAGAAGCAAGCAGAGTAAGAAGGCAGCGGCCGACAGCCGCCGCGCCGCCGCCGTCTCTCCTCGCTCTACGCCCTCAGCAGCCGCCTTCTCCTCACCTCCTCTCCTCCTCCGTCCTCCACTCCTCCTCCTTCCTCCTTCTCCCTCATCCCTCCTCCTTCCTCCTCCTCCGCCTCCTCCTCATCTCGTCGTCAAACCCGTCGTGTTTTTTTCCCAACGCGAGGGCCGGGGAGCATGCGCACCCCGCCCCCCCTGCGCGCGGCCGCGCCGGGCTGCGCACGCCGCGGCGGGCCCCCGACGATGTTTGGGGCGCGCGCCGCGGGCGCGGCGGCGGCCCTGCCGGGGGCCGCGCGCCCGCCTCCGCCGCCGCCGCCGCCGCTGCCGTGCCCGCAGAAGGGCAACGACTGCACCGGACGCGTTCGGCGTCACCCCCACGTGCCCAGACCTCTCCTCGCGCTGCAACACAAACAATCTCACGCCGGGAGGTTTTTGGCCAGTTTCGGCCTCTGGGGGCCCTTGACGGTCCTCGGGAGCGTCAGAAAGCGACGCGGGATGAAGAAGCGGTCCAGGGGAATGGGTCGAGACCTCCAGGGGTCGACGTCGTGACAAAAATCATGACGTCGGGGGTCTGGGTCGCCCGCCCCCCGTGGGCGCCGCGCGCACCGAGAGATCCTGCAGTGCATGCGTCGTGGCGGGCGCTCTCTGGCCGTACCGCTCGGGAAGCGATCCACTAGAAGATTTGGTGGCATTCGTGTGTGCATAATGTTCGGCTCGTACGCACGCCTCCGAGTACTCGCATTCGAGATGTTTTACTGCGGCCCAGGACGCCCCATCCGGGCGGGGGACACCGTGCAATTGAGGGACGACAGCAGCTGGAGCGGCAGGGCCAGCGGGACGCAGCCGAACACCGGCTCGATCCTCGTCGCCTGGGAGACCGGCGACCTGGCGGGCAAGACGCGGCCCCAGGCCGGGAAGTTCCTTCGCGTCGCCGAGCCGCCCGAGGAGACGGACAGCGAGCCGCCGAGCGGCCGATCGGCCGTGCCGCCGCCGAGGGGCCCGGCGCCGCCGGCGAGTGCCCCGGCGCCTGCGGGCTCGGACGCGGCCTCGCCGCAAGCGAGCGGCGCCGCGCAGCCTGCGGCCGCTGCGGCAGGCGCGGCGCCGCCCGACGGCTCGCCGCCGCCCGACGGGCCGGAGGAGGCCGAGCTTGCGGGCAGAGAGCCCGGGCCCTCCGGGCCGCTGCCAGCTGCCCCACTGCAGACAGCAGGCGCGCGACTCCCTGGAGAGCCAGAGCAGGCCGCGCCACCAGAGCAGCCTGCGGGCATGCCATCGCCTGTTGCCGCGCCGGTGCTGACCAGCGCGGGTCTGCCTGAAGAGCCAGAGCAGGCCTCGCCACCGGAGCAGCCTGTGAGCATGCCATCGCCTGTTGCCTCTCCGGGGCCGACCAGCGCGGATCTGCCTGAAGAGCCAGAGCAGGCCTCGCCACCGGAGCAGCCTGTGGGCATGTCATCGCCCGTTGCCGCGCCGGTGCTGACCAGCACAGGTCTGCCTGAAGAGCCAGAGCAGGCCTCGCCACCGGAGCAGCCTGTGGGCATGCCATCGCCTGTTGCCTCTCCGGGGCCGACCAGCGCGGATCTGCCTGAAGAGCCAGAGCAGGCCTCGCCACCAGAGCAGCCTGTGGGCATGCCATCGCCCGTTGCCGCGCCGGTGCTGACCAGCACGGGTCTGCCTGAAGAGCCAGAGCAGGCCGCGCCACCGGAGCAGCCTGTGGGCATGCCATCGCCTGTTGCCTCTCCGGGGCCGACCAGCGCGGATTTGCCTGAAGAGCCAGAGCAGGCCTCGCCACCGGAGCAGCCTGTGGGCATGCCATCGCCCGTTGCCGCGCCGGTGCTGACCAGCACGGGTCTGCCTGAAGAGCCAGAGCAGGCCTCGCCACCGGAGCAGCCTGTGGGCATGCCATCGCCTGTCGCCTCTCCGGGGCCGACCAGCGCGGATCTGCCTGAAGAGCCAGAGCAGGCCTCGCCACTGGAGCAGCCTGTGGGCATGCCGTCGCCCGTTGCCGCGCCGATGCCGACCAGCACGGGTCTGCCTGGAGAGCCAGAGCAGGCCGCGCCACCGGAGCAGCCTGTGGGCATGCCGTCGCCCGTTGGTTCGCCGGTGCTGACCAGCGAGGGTCTGCCTGGAGAGCCAGAGAAGGCCGAGCCGCCAAATGGCTTGGTGCTGCCACCTGGCGTACAGCCGCACATCCATATTGAGCCTCCAGACACCCCAGGCGGCCCAGCGGATTCAGTTGACTCAATGCAGCACGGCGACCTGGCGCAGCCAGAGGGCATGGGCAGCACGCTGCTGCCAGGCGACAAGGTGCAGTCCGAGTGCACGTCGCTGCCAGGCGACTCGACTTGGCACACCAGCACGCTTCTGCCAGGCGACTTGGCGCAGCCAGAGAGCGTGCCGCTGGGCTGCTCGCTCTCCGCAGCTGCGCCGGGTGCCAGCCGCCATCGGCCGGCGCCGACCTCCGCGGCCTCTCGGAGCTCGATCGCTGGCAGCGCCGTGGCAGGCCCTCAGCGCTTTCAGCGCCCCCGAAGTGCGAGCCGCCCCAGAGATCCGCGGCGCTCCGCCTTTGCGCAGTCGCTGCGGCTGGCCCGCGACGACGCGGCGGCTGGCGGCCCGCCGCAGAAGCCCACCAATGCCGACCCTGCCCTGGGCCCAGTTCCTATCGGGAAGATCCTGCTCCGGACATCGGAGAATGACAAAACCCACAATTATGTAGCACCCCGCATTTGCGGATAAGAGTGAAGGGGCGGGCGCGGGGTGGGTCGCGGGTGGGTCGCGGGGTGGGTCGCGGGTTGGTCGCGGGTGGGTCGCGGGTGGGTCGCAGGGTGGGTCGCGGGTGGGTCGCGGGTGGGTCGTGGGTGGGTCGCGGGTGGGTCGCGGGTGGGTCGTTAGTGGCTCGCGGGCGGGTCGCTAGTGGGTCGTGGGCCGGGTCGCGATTGGGACGACGACGACAGCAACAAACAACAACAGCAATCCGCATCGCGGACCCCCTTCTTCAGCCACGCAGCACCCAGGGACAGCGAATGACCGCTAGGCTTCCTCAATCTGATAATTTTTTGAGCTCCGCGCGGATTGCTTGGATCGGCGCTGAGGCCCCCCTGGCGGCGCCTCTGGCGCCGCCCCTCTGTTGTCCAGCGCCGATCCGAGAAATCCGCATGGCATCCCGAATGTTTATACACCTTAGGCGATGCTTAAGAAAACCTAAGTTTTCGGCCAGAGTCTCGATTATTCTTAACGTTTCAATGTAAATCCTAAGATTTTAATAGAAATGTTGTTTTTTATTCAAGTTCTGAGACTATGAATTTCTTAACCCATGATTTCTTAAGCATTTCGCAGGGTGTGTAGCTGTGACGTCTTATTCTAGGAAAGATGGCCGCGAGTTGAACCCGATCGTCGCGGCCGCGCTGAGGGGGAAGGCCTCCCGCGAGTGCCGGTTCTGCGGGCAGGTCGGGCAGGACGGCTGCGTCGGGCGCTTCTGCGGCTGGAGGGTCGCCGCCGGCTTCCTGCAGGAGCTCGGCCCGAAGGCCGCGGTTAACCTCACGGTCCCTGGCCCTGGCAGCTACGCCACGAAGAGGACGCAAACTGGCGACGCGGGCAAGGGCGTTCTGGGAAAAGGGGTCCTAAAAGGCCCGAGGGGCAGTGGACATGGACAAACATCTAAAGCCTTTCGGGACCACATGTGTATCCATACCCACTGCGCCCCTGGTGTGCGGGGAAGGGAGCCCGAAACTCTAAGATGCAGTGGATATGGATATGTCGCCACGCCGTTCGTTCAGACGCACGGCCGTACTCCTTTCGGGGGGCGCCGCGGGCACCAGGGCAAACCCCGCCTCGGGCGCGGTGGGTTTGCTGTGGGGTTTGCCGCGTGGCGGCGTCATGTATTTGGGCGCGGGGTGCAGGGTTTGCCGTGGGTTTGCTGTGGTGTCTGCGTCGTCCACTTGGGCGGGTTCAGAACAAACAGCAGCAACAGACACAGACACACACATACATATATCAGACACGCACATGTGTATATGTATATATATATATATATACATACACATATATCTATATATATACATTCAAGACTGCATTGGCGCTTCGCGCCATGCGCTTTGTTCCAGACGCTTCCCCGGCAAAGCAATAAATCATCGCTTGCCTCAGCAGGGGGAACCTCGAGGCCTGGACGGGCGACCCGCTCATTTGTCTGATACCTTCGTGCCTGCTGACACTGTGTTCGCCCGATGCGCTTGCACGCTTGTGCGCAGGAGTGGGGAAATAATGGTGGTTCCTTCGCGCGCTAAGGTCCTTTGAGGAAGTAAGGAGCGTTCCCATGACACGCCGAAGAAGTCGCAGTAGCTCCGAACAGATCGATGTTTGGCCGCTTCCTGAAATGCCTGGAGGGCTCCAGGCGTTCAGGAAATCTTCGGTCGTCGAACTTCGAATCTAGATTCATTGCCTGTCTCTCTCGATCGAGGAACCTAAACTTCGAGCCTCAAGCGTGGAACCAAGATCGTGGTGCAAGCCCGATGTTTGTGGGAAAACGCCGTCTGCGCTTTTTAGGGGCTCTTTTGGAGATCGTCCTGGTGCCCCCCCTCTTGGGCCGTTATGGGGCCTTCTTGGGTCGTCCTGGGAAGCTGGGGCCCTCCAGAGGTTTTCTCCAGCCATCTAGGGCCCTCTTGGTTGGGGGTCTCCAGGCGCCTTCTTGGGGGTCCCCCATGGCTTTCGTGGGTCTTTCTTGGGAGCCATCTGGGGGCATCTTGGGCTTCTTTGGGGCAGTCTCGGGGTTCTCTGGGGCAGTCTTGGGGCCCTCTTAGGCCGTCTTCAAACCCTCTGGGGGGCCTCTTGGGCCGTCTTAAGGTGTATCGGGGGCCCGTCGGGCCGTCTTAGAAGTTACGAAGACCCCCAAAGCGGATACGCTAACAACATGCATTTTCTTGCGGGAGTGGGGCGATGTTTGCTTCCTCGGGGATCTCTTAACAGCCTTTTGGGGCGTCTTGGGGGTCTTTTGGGCCGTTTTCAAACCGTCGAGGTTCCTCTTGGAGCGCTCTTGTGCTGTTTGGGGTCTCTTTTGCGCTTCTCCGATGACCCCACTGATCGCGATTGAGTCTGCTCGCACGGCCCGGCAAGGCGCCCAGGTAGGCAGGGGCCACCGGATTTAAGGGTTTCCAGATATTTTCCAAGGGCGCCCAGGGGGCCGCCGAGACGTCCGAAAGGGCGTCCTGGGCTTCCCGGGAGGGGGGGTCGGTTTAAGGGGGCAGGCGTGTGTGGGGGTGGGGCTTCTGGGTAGTAGACACTTAGGAATCGGAGGTTGGGGTGTGTGATCGTAGCGGGACGGAGACCCCCACCTGGGAAATCGTTTCGTTTCGTTCGTGTCGTGCGTGCGGGCGAGGCGAAGCTGCGTGGGTGCGCGAGAGGAATGAACCCGCCGCTGCTTGGGCGAAGTCGAGACACATGATTATCCCCTCCCGCCTGTCCGGCGGTGGCTCGCGGTGTCCCGCGGTGTCCATTGGTGTCCCGTGGTGTCCGCCATTGCTAGGGCGAAGCCAAGACAAATGATCATCCCTTTCCCGCCCGTCCGGCGGTGGCTCGCGGTGTCCCGCGGTGTCTGGTGGTGTCCCGTGGTGTCCCGTGGTGTCCGCCGTTGCTAGGGCGAAGTCGAGGCAAATTATTATCCCCCGCCCGCCCGTCCGTCCGTCCGTGCGGCGGTGGCTCGTGGTGTCCCGCGGTGTCCCGTGGTGTCCCGTGGTGTCCCGTTGGGTGAGATCGATAAGGAAATCGATCGTGAGATCGATCGTGAGATCGGTATTGAGATCGACGTGGTGCCCCGAGGTGTCCCGTGGTGTCCCACAAAGTGAGATCGATAGTGAGATTGATAATGGAATGGACCGGTGTCCCGTGTTGTCCCGTGGTGTCTTGGTGGATGAGATCGATAGTGATATCGCTACTGAGATCGATACTGAGATCGATGTGGTGTCCCGCGGTGTCCCAGAAAGGGAGATCGATAGTGAGATCGATAGTGAGATGGACAGGTGTCCCGTGGTGTCCCGTGGTGTCCCGTTGAGTGAGATCGATAGAAGGATCTATACTGGGATCGATGTGGTGCCCCGAGGTGTCCGGTGGTGTCCCGTGGTGTCCCGTTGAGTGAGACCGATAGTGGGATCGATAGTGAGACCGAACGTGAGATCGAGAGGTGTCCCTTGGTGTCCCGTGGTGTCCCGTGAGGCCCGTGGTGTCCCGTTGAGTGAGATCGATAGTGAGATCGACAAGTGTCCCGTGTTGTCCCTTGGTGTTCCGTGGTGTCCCGATGTGTCCCGTTGAGTGAGATCGATAGTGATATCGAATGAGTCAGATGTTGGTTCCCCCTCTTCCCCCCCACAACCTCCTTATCACCCGAAGGGTGGTCGTATAGGTCGAAATATATGACCGCATTGGCGCTTCGCGCCAGTAACCTTGGTCCTTGAGGCTTTGCTTAAGTTTGTCGTTCGCGCCATCCTTAGTGGCCTTCGAAATTTGGCCGCTTCCCAGCGGTGGTATTCGGATGTATTCAACAATTCAGGCGGTCCGTGGCCCTCCCCGGGCCTCCATGGGCTCACGAAAGGCGCCGGGTGGAGGGCGAAGGATAGGAGGGAGGGAATTTCGGGGAGCGAGGAGAGGGAAGCAGATGTGGGGAAGGACGAGTGGTGGAGCGGCAGAAAGAGGAGGAGGAGGAGGAGGAGGAGGAGGAGGAGGAGGAAGTGGAGGACCCAGAGAGGAGCAGGAGGAGGGAAAGAGAAGCAGGTGTCGTGGGACGGCGAAGAATTTCGGTTGCGCCGCGCCGAGGAATGATGAGGAATGGCAGCACATGCGAAATGAATGCCAAACGAACCGACGCAGTGCCAAGAATTCCCGCAAAATACAGCGCAATGCCAAAGCGAGGATGTCATGTTGCAGCGGGTCGCAACGGGGCACGTGAAAGTAAGCAATTTTGGGGGAATGCACTGAATCCTGGGTTTGCAACAGATTTCCGGGAAATGTGGTTGCGAACCCGTGATTCGAGTCAGTTTGGTGGGTCTGAACACCGTGTGGGTCTTGTTCGAGCCTTGGTGGGACGGCTTGGGGCCACCTGTGGCCGTGTTGGGGAGTTTGGGCCCTCTAGTGACCTTACGGGGGCTACGTGGACCTTACGGGGGCTGTGTGGGCCTTCCTGGTGGCCTCCCATGGCAATCGGGGGGCCCCCCATGGCCTTCTGGGGCTTCTTGGGGGCCTTGTGAGGGCCTGTTGGGTTTCTTTTTGGTCCATGTGGGGCTTCCTGTGGCAGTCTTGGTGGGGCCACCCAGGCTGTCTAGGGGGTCTCTTGGGCCGCTTTGAGCCGATACTGGAGGCCCGTTGGGCTGTTTTGGATGCTGGTAGGACCCGAACAGCGAATATACTGAAAATGCACATTTCCCGAAGGAATGAAGCAAATTCTGCGTTTGGGGAGTCCTGTTCAGGGCCGCCTGGGCCGTCTTGGCGGCCTCTGGAGGCCATCTGGGTACTTCCTGGAACGCTCTTGTGGTGTCTTGGGTCTCCCTTCGGTCTCTCTGATCACCGCTCTGATTGCTTGGGGTCTGCTGGCAAGACCCGGCTAAGCGCCCTGGGAGGTCCAGGCCGAGCCGGAGGACCTTTGGCAGGGGTGTCCGATGGGCCCTGAAACCCTGGATCCTGGGTGTCCAGTTTTGGGGTGGGGTGGGTGGGGGGGTTTTCCCACCCCCCGGCTTGTAAACATAAAGGGAGAGGAATATAGTGATAAACATATCACATACGAATATCTTTACAACAAAATATAGAAGTGTGCATACTGGCATAGATACATCTATATATATAGAGAGAGAGAGAGAGAGAGAAAAAAAAAAGAGAGATATGTTTATGTATATGACTGTGTAGCTGCACATGTGTATATACATGTATATATATATATATATAGGTATATACAGAAATACCTATGTACATACACATACGGTAGGCGACGCGCTGCTGCTCGGCTCGGAGGGCGTGGCGCGCGACCAGGACGCCCTGCTGAAGACGTCGGACCTGCAGGGCAGCCCGGCGCTGCAGCGCCGCCGGACGGGGAAGGCTGCGGCGTGGCGCGGCGGCTCTGGCACGGGGAGCACGGCGGAGCTGGGCGCCCTGGTCGATCCGCCGGAGAGCCACCCGCCGAGCGGGGCGTTCTCGTTCTCCCGCGTCGAGTGGCAGGCGACCGTCACCACGCAGACGATAAAGAGCCCGGTTGTCGAGGAAGAAGAGAGCCCTTCAGATTCGGGCTTTGCCTTTTTGGTTCGCACCGGGTTTTGTCGCCGGATTTCGGGCCTTTGGGGCCTCCACAGGTCGATCTGGCTCGGAGAATGGCGCAGAAAAACTGGGTCTAGGGCTCCAGTGGTGATTGCTCGCGGTGTTGCAGTTTTTCCTGCGCATCGCCAGATCTGAGGGGCGGCATGAGCAGCAAGTCTCGGAGTTCCGCGCGGACTTCCTTGGTCGGCGCTGGGGATCCCCTGGCAGCGCTTCCGGCGCCGCCCCTGGCGCACCACGCGCGCCGGGGAGGGGGGCCCAGCGCCGTTTCGAGAAGTCCGCGCGGACCGTCGACGGTTTACGGGATTGCGCCGTCTGCTGCTTCTCGTGCAGGTCCCCGGCCCTGGCAGCTACGCCACGAGCACGACGCGCTCCGGCGGCGCGCTGCTGCTGGGTTGGGAGGGCGTGGCGCGGGACATGGAGAAGCAAAGCCGTTCCGATGCCGCTGCTCCAGGGAGCTCTCCGAGGCTTCGCCGCCCCGATACGCAACATGCAACACGTTGCGTACTGATGCGGAGCTCAGCACGTATCCTGAAAACGTGGGTCTGATGCGATCTTTTCGCCAAAACGTTGGCCAATACGTTGAGCCAACACGCAATGTGTTGGCGCGGACGTTTTGAGCACGGTACGTGTTGCGTATCAAGACGTGCGTATCGAGGCAGCTAAGCTCCCAGGGTGCGTTCTGACTAAAATTTCGAGGCGAAGCCAGCGATGGCGACGAGGACCTCCCAGGAGGCCCAGCGGGCCGAACGCAAGGCCAGTGTAGCCTGAAGTCGGGCCTGTCCCTTTACAGGGGAAATAGTCAAAACATAGTCTGGGGATTATTTTTTATTTTTTTGTGAGTGCTTTTGGGGTATGTTTTTTTGTCCTCCCCTCATTGTTTCGTCCAAAATCCCCCTGTAGGAGGACGCGCCCGACCTAAGGGTAGCGGTACTGAGATGACTCGTGTGTCCGGTAGAGTCTAGACGTGTTTGACCGATTTGGTAAGGATATCGCAAGCGTCTCAAAAGTTGTTTTGTCGGCCATGTGTGAGCACAGTGTAGCGCCTAGCAGAGATTAGTGATCATAATGGTAGGTAACAACACCTTATGGTAATCACGCAAATCAACATAACGCCTGGTAGAGTGTCTGCTGGAATTGAATCGTGTCTGTGCTTATCTGAGTTTTGAAAGCTAGACTACGCTAAACGGTACAAACGCTTAGCATACAATTCACACAGCGGTAACATAGACAGTATTTCAATTGTAACACACATTGGCGAGCAGTGCATGTTCGAAAGCAACATACACATGCTGATCCTACACGCTTAAACTACTACATGGTTCGGGCACGCTTTAGCTTACAAGAAACACGAACGCGAGTACGTGCAAGCAGCGTTTGCATTTACAGCTGTCGCAGCAGAAACTTCCCTGACGTGGCGTTTAGCTGTCCGCAGCGGATCCTCACTTACATGCTCCTTCTACCTGTCCTGTGCACGCAGGCGCCGCGGTGTGCACCAGCGTTGCGTTGCAAGCGGATGCTGTGGTGTAGACAGGCGGTGTAGTGTGCACAGGCGTTTCGGTGCACGCGATCATTGTGGTGTACACAGGCGCTGTGCTGCACATGGTGGTTGCGGTGTACATCTTCCATGTTCGCTGTGATTTGCACCGGCGCTGAAGCACTGTGGTGTGCACAGGCGCTGCGGTGCACACGGCTGTTGCGGTTTGCGCGGGCGCTGTGGTGTACACGCACGCTGTGGTGCACGCGAGCATTGTGGTATACATAGGCGCGGCGCTGTGGGGCAGATCGCCACCTACATGATGCTCGCGTCGTCGTCGTCGTCGTCGTCGTCGTCGTCGTCGTCGTCGCTCGTCGCTCGTCGCTCATCGTCGTCGAGCGCGCGAGCGCGGCTGGTGCCAGAGCCACGCGGCCGGGGGGGTCGTTATGTCGTACACCCCCCCGCCCCCCCCCCATGACGCCCGTCATCGTCGAAAATACAGAAACGCTCTCCAACGTGCCGCCGTGCTGACCATCTGGGGGTCGAGCCTGGTCTTCGCTAGGGGAATTTTGTGGGAGCCCCCTGGGGGTTCCCTTGGGGCGTTCGGGCGATTCCAGGTCCCCCTTGGATTGGGTGGCCCACGCCCCATCCAGCCACCGCGCTTTGGTATGGTACAGTTGGGGAATATTTGTGTGATGAACCTATTGGAGCTCTCGCTGGGTTTCTTGGAGGTTTCTTGGAGCTCCTCCTGGGCTCTCTGAGTCCCAGCAGGTGTTATTCTGGGCCCTAAAAGGCACCAAGAGGATCTGACAGGTTTTAGAGGGTCCCATGGGATCCCGAAGCAGCCCGCAACAACGTCATACCAACCGTTCCTGGTATGATATTGTTGATGGTTTGCTCGGAATTCTGTGGGGGCCCTCTGGGGGCTCGCTGGGGGAGCTCGGCCGATTTCAGGCCTTTTGGATTATCGATTGGCCTTCGGCCCAGTCCGCCACCGTGCTTGGGTAGTGTGTCAGAATACTCGCGGATGCTTCTCGGGATCTCTTCGGAGGGTGGTCAGGGGCGTCTGGAGGCAGTTTGGAGGACGCTTGGGAACCTCTTGGGAGCGTCCTGGGGTTTCCTGACGGCCTTTTGTGGACTGTCTTCGGGTTTTTCGAGGGCCTCTTGAGCGCCTCTTTAGGCCTCGTGGGAGTCTCTTGGGGCGGTGAGTTTGAAGGCAGCCCGAAAAGGGGAGAGGGGGACCGCATTCTGACCCGGGACCCCCCCTCCCCGGGGACCCTTCCCTGGGACCCCCCCCCGGCCCCCCCCCGGGACCCATTCCCAGGACCAACCCCCCCGAGTGGGGAGAAGACCACAGAAAATGGTTTTTCTTTCGACTCAATCTTCTATTGCGACGTGGGTCGAGACACCTCGACTTCGTGACGAGCTTGTCGTGCCAAAGAGATTATCGGGAGAGTTTTCAGGAATGGAAGGGCACATTGAATTAAAGATCCTCTCTTAGGAACCCTCGGGGACGACGGACCCAAAACCCCCTCGCACGCGATGTCAAGACTGGCGGATTGAATTTATCAGTGGGGCGGCGTTTCAAACTGTTGGGGCGCCCATTGCAGGCAGCCTTGAAGAAACAAAATGGCTCCAGCCAACTTGGCTCGGGAAGGAGGTAGGGGACGCGAGTGAGGCCATATCTTCATCCAGGAAGACGGACGGGGAGGGAGTGGGTGATCGAGAGGGTGGGGGGGCATTTGGTTGGAATTGCACGGTCAGCCTCTAGCGGCCATCTGTGTCGAGGCTAGTCGCACCTGCCGCCAGAGCATTTGCTGCCGATGAATCGCGCGGCAGAGGCTGGACGCTTGGAGCCTTGGCCGAAACGAGACGCGGCCTCTGCAACGTGGCCGATGAGGCGTCGGCCGAGGCGGCCAGCGCGGCCAGCCCGGCCGAGGATGCCTCGGCCGAGACGGCCACACGCCGGGGTGCGTCTGCCTCTCGGCCGAGAATGCCTGCGCGGCTTGGCGCGAGTGCTTGGCCGAGCGCCTGATGCGGTGCGTGGGCCAGGCGGCCATCGAGAGGCTCGCAGCAGGCGTGACCGACTCTTTCTCGCCGAGGATTTGGGGGGCGCTCGCGCACGCCCCCGTGTGCCGACCACGAGCGCAGGATTGGTCTCGCGATCGGCGCATGGGCGCGTGTGTTGGCGCCCTGCGACAGGGGGCGTGGCCCGCCAGCAGCGCTGAGGTCGACGAGGTGCGCTTTCGGGTGGACGCGCATGAGATGCGAGCTGCGTGCTTCGTAGCTATCAGAACAAGCTCGGCGATGCATCTTGCCAGTGGTTCGGAACGCGGTTCAAAGCTACGTCCGCATTCCGCGCCTTCAGTGCATACTGTAATCTAGTTAGGATACGCTAAGGCTTAACAGCTCATGTCGAAGCTGGACACCCAAATCATACCACAGGTTTTTTCCGGACACCTCGTCCAAAGCCAAGGGTGCTTCAGATAAGAAGCCGGCAGGCAGGGCTACGCCAGCCGCTCTCCAAGGCTCCCGGGCAGGCATCCCCGCAGCGACCCGCTTGAAGTTGCAGCGTGTCCCGAAAAGCGTTTTCCTACTCGTTCCCAATACGCGTGCCTGAAACCTTGCCGCAGGTCCTTCGCAGCTCCCTCGAAGCTCCTTCGAAGTTCGCTTTTCGAAGCTTGCAAGCTCTCCAGGCATGCTTTCTAAGGTCCTGGCAAGCGTCTCCTCACAGCTTGCAAGCTCCCCAGGCATGCTTTCCAGCGTCCTCGCAGGCGTCTCCCACAGGCGTTCTCCTTCCTCCAAGCTCTCCTCTGAGCTCCCAAGTTTGCTAGTCCAAGTCTGCCGTTAATTACAACTGGCTTCGACCTGAGCAGGCCGTAAAACTGCTCCAGCCTGGCCCCTTTCCAAGGCTCCCGGTCAGGCATCCCCAGAGCAGGCTGCTTGTGCTGGCAGCGGGTGCCGAGGAGCGTTTTCCTACTCGTTCCCAATACGCGTGCCTGAAGCCTTGCCGCAGGTCCTCGCAGCTCCTCGGAAGCTCCTTCAATGTTTTGGGAAGCTTGCAAGCTCTCCAGGCATGCTTTCCAGCGTCTTGGCAAGTGTCTCCCACACACGTCCCCCGCGCTTCCGAGCTCCCCAGGCATGATTTCCAGCGTCCTTGCCAGCGTCCCCCATGAGCATTTTGTGCGCTTTGGGCTACGTCGCTATCCGGGTTTTGGAGCACAAGTAAATGCAACATTAATAACCCTTCTCTAAACTGAAAGTGTTCGATAATTCCTTGGCATCATATCAGGAACCTCAACTTCATCTCAGCATCGGTACCCCTGCCACCGATCAGATGTATTGCTTTTTCAATACGGGGGCTCCTGTTGTCTCGAACCGTTCCCCGGCACACCTTTTTCATCCTGCGTCGCTTTTGGAAAGTTCCCCGGGCCCCGCGAGAGGGCCCGGAGAGGCGGCAAACGACGAACAACCTCCGCGTGCTGCAAGGGTTCCTCCCCTCTATGCCTCCCGGGTGGGGCCCGAGTAGATGGTCGGAGGGTCGCGCCGCAACGCCGATGCAGCTCGATGTGGAGCCTGATGTTTTCCTGGCTGGCGTCGCCGATGCGCCGCCGACGTCGCCAATGCGTTGTCGACGCGCCGCCGCGATGCATCGCCGACGCGGCGCGACCCTTCGACC